ATGGTGGCTGAAATTTTCAGCCAAGTTTTCCTAGAAATTTCGCCCACACGAAATTGCTATTTTCGGGTATTATTTGGGTAACACAGTAGAAGACCGTGGAACGTTCGAGGATCACGATTGTGCGGGTGATGGAGATTCCATTGAGAAGTTATGGAACTGAAGGCTCACGTGGTAGAAGAGATATGTTCACGCTTCAAGAGGTAACCCGTGAAATCCCGTTTATGCTAATTGTCTAAATTACATGTGATTTTGATACTGGGATTGCTTCCGCTGCATATAATAATCTATCAGATCTATATATCACGGATTTGAACCGTGAAAACAGCCACTAATACTTGCATTAGGGTATGATGTCTATATTATACCCTTGGGGAGTACGGCCCTTCCCCCAATCCTACGTGAACATGGAATATTTTGTACATTGAACTGCTTTTTTTAGTTTGATTATTATTACTCCATTTTAATCCGCGCAGACCTAAATTTTTTATTAAGGAGATTCATAAAAATATATCAAGACACAGGATCTAGTACAAATATCTAGTCAGTGAACCTTGCTGGATAATTAAACCCTCTTGTACTAAGGATAGGCCGTCTGGCTGTAATGTATCAACTAACAGGTTTTTTTATTGTTCTAATTCGATGTTCGTTATTCGCATTAAAGCTCGATTACATTCGGATCCGACCAAAATTCTTTTATGAGGATAAAATGTCATAATAAATGCGACTTCATACTTAAGACTCGACCTCAAAATCTCTGATAATGACGAATGAGTAGTTACCATACCATTATAATGCTTGCTTGTCACTAGAAACACAATTATTATGAAAATGTCAGAAAACTGAAATATCATAAAAACTGAGCTGTGGGCTGTGGCTATGTGTTAAAATGAAAAAGAAATCTAATATTGTGAAGGTATTACGAGTAGTTAATGTTTTTCTCTTTTTATGTGTTTGACTGAAAATTAGATTTAAACAATTAATGTTTCATCACAAGCAAAGTAATGGTAGGGTCCTCACTCAGCTTCTACTGGCAACATCATATGATTAATTGGGGAATTTCAGCAGGTAATTTTTTTAGATTAATTCCCTTTTCTTTTTTCTCTTTCAACCTTTGCACGAGCCTATCTTGTTATTGTCATCATTATTTTTGTTAACGACTAGTCGCTTTTAACCACGTTTCAAGAATTTTTCTGTTTTATTATTACTCGTATAGTCCTTTTTATATATTATTTTGAATTTATTAAGTTATTTTTTTGATAATGTGATAGTACAAAAACAATTAACAAATTAAATTGCCAAAATTTAAAGTTTATGCGTTCGGAATTATAATCCGTTTAAGTTACTGGATTAAATTATTAATTTATATAACATTAGTACAAAATTTAAGACAAATAATTTGGATCAAAGCTACTTGGTTCAGCTGAACGCGTATCCGACATTACTATCTCCGCCCTGATTTTATGTAGGAATCTGAAATTTCCAAGAACTAGTTGGCCAAATGATTGATGTTGGTCCAGTTGATCAACTCAATGCTAATAAATATTCACTCATATTGGGCTGCTATTTTTATCCTACCAAAGAAGGTTCTTAAGGACATCACTCCAATATGCAGAAACTACCTATGGGCCGGAAAAGGCATATCAAATAAGGTGTCACTAGTTGCATGGGACCTTGTGTATAGACCTAAAAGAGAAGGAGGATTGGGAATAAGGGCGTGCATCATATGGAATGAATCTGCTATAGCAAAGTGTGTCT